CCAAGTGAGCAGAGAACCACCGTCTCCGCTGCAGGGCAAAGCAGCTGCTTTTCAGGACGCGATCCTCTGTCACTGTGGCGGAGAGGAGACACCTCCCACACAGGCGGCTTTCAAAACCGTACTCAGTACAGAACTTGAGGAGTATTTTCCAATCTATTTTTCCAACTGTCACTATTAGCAGCTTTTTGCCGGCTGAGTGGGGGTCTGACAGGCCAAATGTGGGTGCTCCATGCAGATGAAGCCGCGGCAGCCTGGCGGGAGGGTCCCATGTGATTATGAGCACTGGGCGCTGCATGGAAGAGGTGACGTTTCAGCCGGACGGGTGAGGAAGAGCACCCTGGTGGGTGGCGCACACGCAGGCTTGACCTGTTCTTGCGCTCGGCAGACAGGACACTTGCTGGTGCTGTCCTTCGCCTCAGGAACTCTGTGGCTGCTGTCCCTGTGCTGTGGCTCGCCCCCGCCCTGCCCCTGCCCTACCCAGTGCCCTTGGCTCTCAGGAGGCGCCAGGTGTGTGTCCTTTGAGTACTGGCACCCACACGAGGCCCAGGGTCACACTGGCCCTCACACAGACTGGCTTCACCCCCTTCTGCTTTTCAGTCTCCACCCAGAGAGCGTGGGCAGGTCAGCAGCGGCCTTCCTTGGGTCTGGTTTGTTTTTTTGTCCTGGAGATTGAACCCAGGGGTGCTTAGCCACACCCCCGCCCTTTTCATTTTTATTTTGAGACTGGGTCTTGCTAAGTTGCTGAGGCTGGCCTTGAACTTGGGATCCTCCTGCCTCAGCCTGGGATTATAGGCTTTGCCACCCCGCTTAGCCTCCTTAGGGCTTTTTGTTGTTGTTGGTTGGTTGTTTGGTACAGGGAATTGAACTCGGGGGCCCTCGACCACTGAGCCACGTCCCCAGCCCTATTTTGTATCTTATTTAGAGACAGGGTCTCCCTGAGGTGCTTAGCGCCTTGCTTTTGCTGAGGCTGGCTTTGAACTTGCGATTCTCTTGCCTCAGCCTCCCCAGCCGCTGGATTACAGTGCCCTCCGTGCCGGCCTCCTTAGGCTTTTAAGTGGAAGCTCATTCCACTGCTCGGACCATCCCCGTCTCCATGGCAACCTTCATGTCACTGCTCCTCCTGGAGCCGCTGCCGGGGGTGTGTCGTGACTTTCCTGGGGTTCCCCTCCCTGTGGCCTCTGCGTTGACAGCTCCTACTCCCTCCCCCACCCTCAGAGGCTCCTTCCAAGGACCTCCACATTTGTCCTCAGGCAGCATTGATCCTGCCCTCCTGACACATGATCGAGCAGTGACGTCGTGTGTTTTCATTTGGGGGAGAAAAAGATTTTTTCTCGTTTTTCATGAAGTCATTGTTCTTGATCCAGCTGTCCCCAGGTTTTCAGTGGAGACCAAAGCTGACCTCCCCTTGCCCGCACGTGGCTCGGACAGGGCCATGTGTCTGTCCCAGCTGTGGGAAGGATGGCCCTCTGTCTGAGTGAGTTGGGGACAGGCGGCCTGGCTGGGGATAGGGCTTTCCTCGAAGCCCCTACTAGCTCAGGTAGTGGGGTGGACCTCCTGGGACACCAAGTCTGTGTCTCTAAGGGGCATGGGCCGCTGTCTCTGGGAAGCATCTGTGGCCAGCATCTGTCCCTCCCCTTGTGTTTCCTGGTGGGGCTGCTGTTTGCTTTATTGCGGGGATTTTAAAATGGCAGTGCATTTCGTCTGCCACTGTGGGTGCTTGTGAGTTGTCCTAGAGGAAGGGACGATAACCGTCTGGTCTTCTATTGGGTCTCTTCCTAGCTCAGAGGTCCTGGTAAGTAGCTGCCTCCAGCTGCAGTTCTCTGAGGGCAGCTGTGCCACCAGGTTAGCTTATTTTAATTTAAGGTGATGTGACCCTATTGCACCGTCTTTAGGAGGTGCTAGGGAAGCTTGGTGGGGACCTGATTGCTCTGGTAAAGAACACCCTGTCATTTTGGTCTGTGTCCTTGGGGGTTTCTGCTCCACCGAACACGCGGTCAGCAGCGTTCCTACACCGTGTGTCCTCTGCTTGCTCTGTGCTTCTGCTCTCAGACGCTGTTCTGCAGTGACCCTGAGAGCCACCGCTGCAGGCCTTGAGGTCACACAGCACTGCCTCACCTCCCCCACTGAAGGTCGGGGTCAGGGAGCCGATTCTGAGGGGGAGGGCAGCCTCCTGGGCTCCAGATGCTGCCCCTGGGTCCCGCCACCAGCTGGGGTGACAGAAGCTTCCTGGGAGGGTCCTGGCCTCTCCTTGGCCGTGGCTGATTGAGAAGATCAATGTTTGAGTTTTGTGGCTGAGTGGTGTCTTCTATTAGGAAGTACTTTCCAGCCCTGTGTAGCCTGGGCCTTGAGCTGCCCCTGCAGGACCCAGACAGACAGACAGACAGACAGACACCCACACACACGGTTTTCTTTCTTAGTTGGTCTCTGGGAGGGATATTTGCAGCAGTTAACTGCCAGTGGGTCACCCCAGGATGCAGCTGGTCCCCACTTATTTATGAAAAGGAAACTCCGGAGTTTCCCCAGCATCTTGTGTGGGGATCTGAAGGCCCACCCACTTGAGGGGGACGGGGAAGGGGCACAAGATCCACCCTTGATTGTGATCTTTGCACCCCACCCCAACTGCTTGCTCTGTGGGGGAGGTCTCTGGGAGGACCAGACTGAGCTGCACGCTGGCCTGTCCCTGGTCTGTCTGTGGTGTTTCAAGGTGGCACGAGCAGGGCCAGTTGGCAGATCTTGAGGGGCTGTCCAGAGCGTACCACCGGGCCCCTCTCCAGCATCGCAGGGCCTGCCCCTCGCACCCGGCTGGGGTGAGACCAGGTGTCCCAGCAGACCCATGTCGCCTGCGCCTCCACAGTGGCCCTCTGTTCCCAGTGCCAGCAGGGAGGGTCCCCTCGTCAGCACCCTGCTCACGTCCCTGCTAGACTGAGGGCCTGGTCTGTCCCCCGGAGGCCCTTCCACTGCAGGTTTTCTAGGGAAAACAAAGGTGTGAGGGGACTCGTGGGCCACCAGTCCCCATCACTGGTGCTGGGTGGTCTCTAGCGACCTGTGGCTGTGTCAGGGCCTCAAGATGTGGCTGGTGTGTCAGAGGAAGTGGCTGTATCATGTTAGTTAACTTCAAGTTAAAGCAGATTCTCGATTCAGTTAGAGGAAAATGATGTCGGCTCAGGACCAGCTCGGCTCAGGAATAGCAGTCTTTTTTCCACTGTAAGTTTCATGAAATTTGCATGCAACTCAGGGTTTCCAGTGGAGATTCAGCATTCAAATTGAGGTGTGCTGTAAAACACACCCAAATTATAAAAGTTAAAAAAAGAAAAAACCCACACTGAATTTCAAATACAGCATGAACAAAACATGGGATATTTCAACAGTGCATTTTATGTTATGTGTTGAGATGATTATATTTTAGATAATGGGCTTAATTTGAGTATATTCTTAGAATAATTCTGCCTGTTCTGTTTACTTTTTAAAAGGTGGCTACTAGGAAATTTGAAATTAATGTCTCAAGTTACGCACCTGGCCTGAGTCTGCTTTTCTGGAGTGTGATGGATTGTCTTTTAGGGAAGCTAGTTCAGGGTTTGGAGGCATTTTTGGCCATAGGGTCAGGTCTTGGGAGGCCCATGTTTTTTTAATTTTTAATTTTATTTTATTTTTAAGAGTGAAAGGAGTAGGATTTATCAAGTGTGAAGAATAGAATCGGAGGTCTTGCAGGGACAGGGGGGACCTCTGACAGGGGTTGCCCCTCCCCAAGGTGTTTTGAAAGACACAAAATTTTAAAAATATTTTTTTCCCTTTTTCAATTTATTTATTTTTGCGGTACTAGGGATCAAAAAACCTTTCCTTAATTGCAAAATGTGTTTCTTATGGGGAAAATTAGAAACTATGGATTAAATGAAATTAAATGGAAGGTGAATACCGAGGTTTCCTAGGATACTTTCTGTCAGTATTTTGCTTAGATTATCATTAGCATAAAAGTACCACTTTCTTAAGATTAGTTCAGAAACAAAACAAAAGCAGACATGGTTCTGCTGGGGCACCTGGTCCCACCCCAGCCGGGTGCGAGGGGCAGGCCCTGCGATGCTGGAGAGTGGCCCATGTAGTCTCATTTATCAACTTGTGTACCGGGATGGAGGACCGAGGGATCCCAAGACTTGGATGGTGGCGGCAGGACAGCAGCCAGGAATTGGAAAGGGAGGGCAGATGGTGGGCGAAGGTGACCTTGGTTCTCTCCCAAGGTGGCCCGAGCCCTGGAAATAGCCCTTTATCTTGTGTAAAACTGGGTTCTTCCCTCTGATTTGTGAAAAGCTGGACGCACTGGCAGGGAAGGAGCCCGCCTGGCCTGAGACATGCTGTGGGAGGCGCGGGCGGGGCTGGTCTAGAGCGGAGCCCATGAAAGACCCCGGGAGACGGCATGGCGGAGGGACTGTCCTGGCCTTTCTTTCCAGGCCCTTGGTGTGAGGGCCAGGAGCAGCTTCTGTCTCCCCTGCCACCTCTACTCAGAGTAGCCCTGATGGCTTCCTGTCCCAGCATGTAGCCTCTGTCAGCAGGTCTCCTCCCCTAGGACTTGGGCCTTAAACAGTGCAATGCCTGGATCCTTGATCCTGAGGTTGAGCAGCCTGGGGACTTCATGATTCCTGATCTCTCTGGGGAGCATCTCTAACTCCTATTCTCTATTCTGTTTTAATCGCATAAGATACAATAAAAATAATTAGGGATATCTTTAAAAACAAGCCCAGCCCTAGCTGGTCTTCCCTCTTTCCCACAGTCTCTCTACATGCAGACGTCATTTTTTACTTGATAATGATCATAGCAGAAGTCCGATCACACTTTGATCTTTTTAGGTACGATTTTGTCTTAACTAGCCCTTCCTGCTGTGCGGTGTCTTCGCAGTCACCCTTGGCGGCTGCGCACTCACCCGGTGACTCCATCAAATGAGATTTACGTGATCGCTCTTTATTTTTGCTTCTGTTCTTAACGGTGCCTTTCTCCCTTTGTCTCTGTAGGAAGTTCTCCAGCAGCTGATCGTCATGAATTTGCCCAATGTTTTGATGATTGGCAAAGACCCGTTGTCTGGTGAGTGAAAGTGCCCCTCACCCCCTGGAGTGCCCGGGCAGTGCCATTGGCTTTGGACAGCTGTTGGCCCCTGAGCCCTGGCTGCCGGCTTGGAGCCAGCACAGTGGAATCACATGACTGTTTTGGTGAGATTTTTTTAAAGAGTAGGTTTACTGCCCCGAGGCCTGAAGCCAAGAGCGAATCCTTCCTGCAGAGTGAATCCTTCCTGGCTCCTTGGCTGTGCGTGCTGAGCTCAGGAGGCCACTGCTGTGTGCCACCGGAGAGGATGGGTCTGGATCTTGGGGTCTGAGTCATGAGCAGGGTCCCGGGGTCTCTTGGCCTTGAGCAGAACCAGATTCCCTGTGCTGAGTGCAGGACGTGGCGATGGATAAGGATCAAGGACCCAGGTGTTACTCTGGACTGTGGCACCAGATCTGGGAGAGGCTGCACCTTGGGGTGCTGGGGGCAGCACCTTAGGCGAGCGTCTTTCTCAGTGTGGATGTCTGTCCTGCGCTGGGTCCTGTGAGGCTCTGCTCTTGCTGCTCCAAGGCAGCGCTCCCCAGGGTGTGTGGTCATTCATCTGTGTCCCCATCTGGACTTGGAGCACCCAGTGGGCAAAGGTTCTAAGTCTTCCTGCCTCTGATGCTCGATGTCAGTTTGAAAGACCAGGTGAGCTGCCATCTTCCAGCACGTGAGAGCTTACTTCACACCTGTCAGGTAGCTCCTGGGTGACTTGAAGAGGTGACAGATCCCCTCCCTTCACATTGTCTGCTGTCCTCTGGCTCACAGGCCCCCGGGGTGCCTTACTCCTGGGTGGTGTTCTAGTGGAGACCTTGTGGGTGTTTGGAACCCCGGCTGGGGCCTCCTGGGTGAGTGAGGTACAGGAAGGCAGGAAAGCCCCCACCTGTAGAATAGCAGGAGGCCAGGGATCCCAGACGTTAGAGGACGGAGCCCCCATTGCTGGTCTCTCCTTCCCCAGCCTCACTGGAGTCTGAGTGTCCTTTCTCCCGTCTGTGACAGAAATTAAGTTGCCTTGTACACCAAGTGCAGCTGTCCCTGGGAGCCACGTCCCTGAGGGTGCAGCCGCAGCCACCTCCTTGTGCATGGGGGTGGGGCACTCTCTGGGCCCCAGCCAGCCATGTGTCACCTTTACTGTGTGAGCCAAAGGAAGAGGTGTCCTTAGCCTCCTGCTGGCCTCACATTGTCTATCACAGTGGCCCGGGAGTCTGCCCAGGCTACCTGGGGCTCCTGGCAGGGTGCACCCTCCCTTCCGTGAGTTACAACAGGGGGCTTCGGTTCTCCTCGCCCCTCCTTGGCCCTAGCTCTGCTTTCTGCCTTTATTTTACCCCTCCTTATTCCCCAGGAAGACGTCCAATCAGCACCCCAGCCACATCCCAGGGCTCTAGGGACAGTGGGACCCTGGTGACTTCAGGGAAGGGGGGGTCTGCTTTGCCAGGAAGGCCTGCGCTGCCTACCGGGTTCACTGTGGGCTTGGCAGTGGTTGGAGCTCAGGTCTGCTCCGGAGGCCATGGAGGAGCAGGAGAGAAGGAGGCTGGCTTCTGAGCCAACGTGAGCTGCACGTGGGAACCTCATGTGTCACCTGGATGAGGCTGAGCCACCCGCTGATGGATGCGGGATTTATTTAGGGACAGAAGCTCTTAGGGCTTCTGACCCGACCTTGGTCACTGAGTCCATAGTAGAGAGCTCATGGGCAGCTGGTCCGGTGCCGGGAGCTGAGCTCCTCGATTGGCCTCGCCCGTGGCCGTCTCAGTGTTGGCTGCTATGGGGCACGTGGCAACACGCACCTGTTAGACCTATAAAAATGCAGAGGTAGGTCGGGCTTGCAATTCCAGCAGCTCAGGAGGCTGAGGCAGGAGCATCGTGAGTTCAAAGCCACCCTCAGCAAGGGTGAAGCTAAGCAACTCACTGACTTGCATCCTCCTTGCCCCAGCTTGTCACTTGTGTAGCTTGCTGGTCTTCCTGCTGATCACCGCCCTCCCTATCCGGAGGCCTGCCCTCTCTCTTCCCGGCTCCACCAGGCACACCCCACACCAGAGGTGGAGAGACTGAGTGCAGGAGCTTGGGTCCCCGCCTCAGGAGTGGAGATATCCTGAATGATATCTCCAGAAGAGTGGATGCTGATTTTTTTTTTTATTTCACAGGTTTATTGAGATATAATTTGCTGACCATAAAATTCATTCATTTTAAATATGCAGTTTAGTGATATTGTTTGCTAAGAGTACAGAGTTGTGCAACCCTCAACCCAGGCGAGTTTTAGGACTTTACAAGAGAGCTGATTTTAACCAATGTCCGTGAGTCAAATGGCCCTGGGACCTAGCAGGGTGTATGATCAATTCACGTGGCTCTAAGAGGTTCGGCCCAGCTAGGAGGGAGGTGAGTCGAGGCGGGAGCCCTGGGAAGTTAAGGAGCGAAGCAGCACCCCCGCCCCCACCCCAGCTCAGGCGTGGGCAGGACTGACAGGCAGACAGTGGCCCCAGCAGGCGGCCTTGGAGGGAAGAGGCATCCTCGCCCCGCACAGTGCATGCATGGGTGGGTTTGACAAGCGTCCCAGTGGCTCTGAGAGCAGAGGAGGGTGGCAGGGACATCCACCAGCAGAAGATGCAAACAGATGCCAGAGGCAGAGGTCTATTTATAGAACAGTGTTTTCAGTTTTACATTTTAAAAATAGAGGTGTGAAGTATTTTGTGTTTCTTTGGTTTCTTTTCTTTCTTCTTTGTGTGGGTGCCTGGAGCGAGGGCACCTCCCTGGGGTGCTGCTCCTCCCCTGGGTCTCCGCCAGCCCTGGCTTGTGCCATGGGGAAGAGGCTGAGACTGCGCTACCCTGAGGCTGCACTGCTGGCCGTGCACTGTCTTCTGTTTGGGGAAAACGTATCACAATAGAATCAGGTCCCAGACTTCAGCAGAGGGTCTCATCACCCGACACCCCTCCACTGCGGCTGACACCCCTCCCTCCACTGTGAGGCCAAGCACTTGTCCCTCTTCCTCTGACCTCATACAGGAGGTGTCACAGCTCATGGGGGTTTTCTGTAACGCCGGCTTTGCTCCCACACCTGTCAGAGGGGAACCTCTTTCTCCACGACTCCACTGGGTGGAAACCGGGCAGCGTGGGCAACACGAGGACGTCACTGCAGGACCTCAGCTTGCTTTTGGATCCCTCAGCCTCTCCCTCCTCCGCAGTTTTCTGTGCCTGTCTCTGTCCTCTTGGATTGTGTTTGGTTTGCAGCTGTCTCCCCATGTGTCCTGGTCCCTGGGGATCCGCCTGTCAGGTGTCTTATGACTGTGGACCCTGCTTCTTGGAGCGTGGCCTGGAGTCTGGCAGAACCCTTTGGGGACCACCCTTAACTTTGATATGATGACACTTTGCAGACAAGTCTTCTCTGGGGGCCGGGTGGTGTACCCGCTTCCCGGGACTCTCATTGGCCACATCTTCCGAGTCTCTTGTCCAGGGCCTTGCCTTCAGCCACATGCCTTGGCACTGCCCTTAGGACATGCCCGGAGGCTGGGCCCTGCCCTGCCCCTCTGCTGCTCATCCTTCTGGCCACCACCCCCGCCACCCCTGGCTGCTCACCAGGGCAGCCTCTGCCGCGCCTGTGCCTGTGGTCTGCTCTGGCATGGCCACCCAGCACCAGGGCCCTGCTCCCTCCATCTGCTACACTTGTCCTGAGGCACCACAGGAGCAGCTCCGGAAGGCCCTCTGCCTCTGCCCAGCGCCCACACTGCCCCCCCCACCCCGCTCACAGCCTGCCTCACCTGCCCACAGTGTCATGAGTGCCATGTTGGGCATTGCCCCTGGGGGTGGGGCCTCTCCTGAGAGTCTCTGGGACTCTGGGCTTCGTGCTGCTCTTGCCAATGGGTCCCGAGTGTCTGGGCTGGGGAGAGAGCGCTCAGCCCCACCTGGTGTGGGGTCTGCAGCTCCCCGCCCGCTCCCCCACAGGCTGGCGCCCCTGCAGCTCTTCACCACTCTCTCACGGAGAAAGTCCACGTGTCAGTGGTCAGAGGGAGACTCGGTGCCTGCCTAGCTGTGTGTCCCTCTAGGCCACAGCTGGCCCACGGAGGGCTGTCCTACCTCGCCAGCTGCACGTCCACCGAACGTGTTTCCGTGGCTCATGGTGAGCCTCATCTGTGCAGCAGGGCAGGGGTCGGAACCCCTCAGCTCCGCCTATCCACACCTTTCCCAGCAGCCAGGTCTGTCCCTGTGCCACACACGGAAAGGGCCTAGGCAAAGGAAGCCGGGTGTCAGCAGGTCAGTGTCTGTGGTGGACCCCGGAAGAGCCGTGCTGGAGGAGAGCATTGTCTTCCCTCCAAGGCCCGCGTCCAGCTGAGTGCAGAAGCTGTCCAGGTTCGTCAGCTGCTCCTCTCACCTCATGTCTGGAGCTGAAGGGAAAGAGAACCAGAAACCAGCCCAGAGAGGGGAGGAGCTTGTCCAGGACACGCAGCACAGAGGCCCTGTAGGTCAGCGTAAGCTTGTCACCATAAGTTGCAGAGATGGTCCTATTTGTGGACCATCAGCCAGTGGTCCCGAGCAGGACTGGCCGCCGCCGTTGTTGTGCCCTGGCATTTCTTGTGTTCTAAATGCCGAGCAGGATTCCCAGGAGCCCTGGGAGGGGCTGTGACCCCACACACGCTCCCAGGCCTGCTGTGAATGCAGCTGGAGCCCTTGGGGACAGCAGTGGGGGCTTCATTCATTGCTTTCATTGTCTGGTGCTTGGTCCTAAGTTTTCTTCCCAAGGTGGTACCAGAAGGGGCTTCCAGCAGCAGCGAAAGCACTTTGAGGGATCGGAGTGTCCTGTGCACGCCCTTCCTGCTCAGTTGAGCGCCACATGTGCTGCTCTGGCTGAGGAAGCAGTTTCTGACTCTGGCCCACTGTCTGACCCTCCCAGAGAGAAGACCAAAGCCCCCTGCATCCTCCTGCATCTTGGCTGGCTGCCCGCGGCCAGAGGCTCACAGAACGAGCTCAGGCCAAGCCTGTCCCTCAGTGTTCCTTGCAGCCAGGGGCCTTGGAGAAACTTGGGAACCCTGCTTGGGGACCCCTGTCTGCGTTGGGGCAGGGAGCGGGGAGACATGGTCCATAATGGCCGCTGTTCTGGGGTGTGAGGTGGCATGGGTGAGTGCCTCAGGGAGTGGGAGGGGATACTTGAGTGCTGGGAAGGCTTCCTGGAGGAGGCAGTGCTTTGAGAAGGTGGGTGTGTCATTCAGCTGTCCATCACTGTGACAAGTACCAGAGATAACCGACTTGTAAAGAGAAGGTTCACTCCAGATCACAGGGTTTGAGGGTCCAGTCCCGATCGGTTGCTCCTGAAGCTTTAGGCCTTGGAGTGCGTGGTGGAGCACAACTTCTCACCTGGGGTGGGGAAGGGACCCCGTCTCGCAGTCCCTTTGTGTCCTGCCCCAAGACCTCCACTAGGCCTCTCTCAACAGCACCCCTCTGGGGACTAAGCCTTGAACACGGGCTTTTGGGGACATGCCAGCAGTGGGGAGAGGTGGCTGAGGTGGCAGGGAAGATGTGCCAGCATCTCGTGGGGACAGCAGGCCCAGGGTAGGGAGGAGGGCTGCCCAAGCGTGGGCTTCGAAGCCCGAGGGGAGCCGAGCTCTGAGGCCCCAGGAGTTCCCACTTGGCCATGCCAGTCTGCACCCGCTCCCTGTCCCTGAAGTGCCTCCCGGATCCCATGGAAACGCCCCTCCCAGCTGCAGTGGAGGGTGCTGACGGCCGTGTGAGGGCCGCTGGCCTCCTGGGCAACCGAGGGCAGGGCTCAGGCTCTGGCCGCCCAGGGGACACCCTCTTGCTGCTCACATTGCCCTTTAGAAAACCAGAGGGTCTCCTGGATCCCCTGCCCCCTCCTGGGCATCGCCTCCCAGGGCCCAGGTGGCCCCAGGTCTCTGGCCCAGGTCTGCCCGGGGGCTGGATGAGCAGTTCTCCTCTTCTCCAGGCCTCTACTCTCTCATCTTGCTTATTTATTTTTCAGGTATTTTGTATTTCCTTTGAGGAGGGAAGAAATAAGGTTTTTTTTTTTTGTTTTATCAAAAGTAATCTTGCAGGCATTTTGATCCTTCTAATATTTCCTGTTTGGTCCTTCCGAGAGCAGGTTCACAAAAGCCCCTGGACTCGACTTGGGACCGTCAGCTCCGGTCCTGCTCCTGGCTTCTATGCTTTGCCCGGGGTCAGGAGTGAGGTTCTGGGTCCACCTGCTGGGCCAGGGTGGCCGGGCCCTGGAGCCGGAGGCCAGCGCTGTGCTTCCATGGCGAGTGCGGGGCCGGCTCTCGTGAGCAGAGGCGAGCACACAGCACGCTGGAGTCCAGCCCTCTGACCAGCCCTGGCTCTGCCTGGATACCAGACTTTGTTTAGTAAACTTCCCAGCCGTGGCCTGTGCCCAGAGGAGCTCTCCCTGGCTGCAGTGTCCGCGCCATGGCTTCCAGCAGGCCGGCCGTCTGCGGCCATGGCCGTTCAAGGAGGAGGAGGAGGAGGGAAGAGACGGTGTTTGCCAAAGGTCTTTGTGTTCACCCCCAGGGTTTGGGCTTGGAGGTCTTTGCCAGGTGCTGGGAGGGACCCTT